TGATAATAAATGATACAGAGGTGCAATTAAACATTTTAATAAAAAAAATTATATTATTAATAAAAAAAATTATATTTCTTTATTTATAATATAATTTTGTGTAGTTATACAACAAAGAAATTTCCGCCGAACCATTTTATAGACTTAAATAATAACTGAAGAAAATTAGATATTTTATTTATAAAAGTAATATCTTTAATAAAAAATAGTTATTAGTCATTTTTAGGATACTTAATTTTGTAGTTACTGGGTGATTTAAACGCGGCCATCTCCGTCGAATTATCTTGTAAACTTTGATAATAATTGAATAAAAAAATCAATTAAGCATTTTGATTAAACATTCATGTTTTTAATAAAAAATAAGTTTTTGGTAATTTTTAGCATAATTCTGAAGTTACAGTAATTTAAAAAATTACATTGATTAAAACAAAACTTTCTCCGTTGAATCACCATATAAACTTTGATAATAATTTACAAAAAGCCATTATCCAATTCAGTTAAAAATATATGCTTTTAGCAAGAAATGGCTAATTTTTAATGTAATTTTGTAGTTACTGAGTGATTTAAACGAGACCAACTCTGCCGAATCACTCTGTACTTTGATATAATAAGTGACAGAAATGTACAATTAAGCATTTTAGTAAAAAAAAATAACGTTTTTAATAAAAAAGTTTTTATTCAGTTGTGGTTGTAGATACAAGGTGATATAAACAAAGCCATCTCTGTCGACTCACTCTGTAAACTTTGCAATTAAATGAGTAAAATATGCAATTGAGTTTTTTTTATTATAAAAATTCCTGTTTTTGTTAAAAAACTAGGTTTTCATCCACTTTTAATGCAATTTTGTAGTTACACGGTAATGTAAACGATATCATCTCCGCCGAATCACTCTGTAAACTTCAATAATAAACGACAAAAAAGCACAATTAAGCATTTTAAGTAAAAAATTCATGTTTTTAATAAAAAAATGAGTTTTTATTTATTTGTAGTTGTAGATACAGAGTGATTTAAACAATGCCATCTCCGCCGACTTACCCTGTAAACTTTGACAATAAATGATAAAAATATGCAATTAAGTTTTTTATTATAAAAATTCCTGTTTTTAATAAAAAAAAAAGTTTTTGGTGTAATTTTATAGTCACAGAGAGTGATGTAAACAAGGCCATCTCCGCCGAATCACCCTGTAAACTTCTGTAAAAAGGGACAATTAAGCATTTTAAGTAAAAAATTCAGTTTTTAATAAAAAAATTAGTTCAGTTGTAGTTGTAGTTACAGAGTGATTTAAACAAAGCCATCTCCGCCGACTCACCAGGTAAACTTTGACAATCAATAATAAAAATATGCAATTAAGTTTTTGATTATAAAAATTCCCATTTTTAATAAAAAAAAGTTTTTGGTCTAATTTTGTAGTTACACAGAGTGATGTAAACGATGACATCTCTGCCGACTCACCCTGTAAACTTCAATAATAAACCACAAAAAAGCATAATTAGGCATTTTAAATAACAAATCCATGTTTTTAATAAAAAAAAWTAGTTTTTATTCAGTTGTAATTGTAGATACAGGGTGATTTAAACAAAGCCATTTCCACTTACTCACCCTGTAAACTTTGAAATTAAATGACAAAAATATGCAATTATTATAAAAATTCCTGTTTTTAATGAAAACAAGTTTTTGGTGTAGTTTTGTAGTCACAGAGGGTGATATGTAAACAATGCCATCTCCGCCGAATCACCCTGTAAACTTCAATAATAAACGACAAAAAAGCAGGCATTTTAAGTAAAAAATACATGTTTTTAATGAAAAAATAAGTGTTTATTCAGTTGTAATTGTAGATACAGGGCGATTTAAACAAAGCCATTTCCACCGACTCACTCTGTAAACTTTGAAATTAAATGACAAAAATACGCAATTATAAAAAAATCCTGTTTTTTAACAAAACAAGTTTTTGGTGTAATTTTGTGGTCACACAGGGTGATGTAAACGAAGCCATCTCCGCCGAATCACCCTGTAAACTTCAATAATAAACGACAAAAAGGCACAATTAGTCATTTRAGGTAAAAAACTCATGTTTTTAATGAAAAAATGACTTTACCTGCAAATAAGCAGTTTCCTATAATTTAATTCCCATCCAGGTAGCATCTCAGTCTTTCCCATAATTCTCGAATTTCCGATACGACCACAGCAACCTCAGCACCGCGCCACAAATTAAATGACACCAAAAASACTATAATAACGCTCCGAAGCAGGGGGCAATTTCCCATCTCGGGTCGCATTAACCCAGTCTATAATTCTAGCCCGGGGAGCCCCCCAATTTATAAAACATTAGACGATTTGAAATTATAATCGTGAGAATACACAATACTATAAAATTTTTCGATATACAGGGTGCGCCTGTAAAAAAATGCCTTATAAGATAATATACCAGGAACATGGAAAAAATGTTGAAACAATTTTATCTATAAAAATTTTGAAGTTATGAGGGTTTAAAGTTTGCACTTTGACTCTATTTATTTCAGTTTTTTTTTTGCTATAGGCTATTAAAAGAGGAAACAAGAAAGCTGTATCCTAAATTGTAACTCTGTTCAATGTTATTTGTGGCTTTTATTGGCAAAATTTTTGTCCCTTTACTAAATAATTGTAAAAAAACATATACAAGATCATCAGTATCATTAAATAGATATAAAAAAATGTCAAATGTCAAGAAATAAATGTCAAAATTTTTTGACAGATAGAATTTTTTAAACATTTTTTTCATGTTCTTGGTATCTTACCTTACTTAAAAATTTTCTCTGGGGCGCGAGTTCTGGCGCACCTGTATATCGAAAAATGCTTGGTAAGGGGGCTAATATGTTTTTGCTAATATTTCAGAAACCAGTGAAGATAAAATTACAAAATTTGGTACAGATGATAACCTTTATACACTTAAACAAATTCAAACATCAAATGTCAAAATTTTTAATCAGGGGCGTACGAAACTGGGGGAGTTTAAGGTAAAAAATACCCTATTTATTTTAGCTTAAGTTTCTCGGTACTTTCAGCAACAAAATCTTAAGTTCGATAGTTTATCACAGAAAAGTCTCTCTTGTGTCCATACGACTTATTGTTTTTGAATAAAATTAATTTAAAATTTATGTTACACACCAATACAACATTCAAATCACTCAGAATTTACAGAGTAATAAAAGCAAAAAATTCATATTTTTTAATCAACCTCAACTAATTAACATTACATTACAGTAACAATAATTTAATAAATTTCCCTAAATCTAAAGGAGTTGTTCAAAGTGACCACCATTTTGGTCAATGCATAACTAAAGAAACTAGAGCCAAAATAGATAGGGTATTTTTTTATCC